GTCTGCTTCTCCCTCTGACCCTCCTCCCTCTCGTGCTCTCTGTCTCTCATTCTCTCTCTCGCAAATAAATAAAATCTTAAAAAAAAAAAAAAAAGAAAACACTCCCCGAGAAAGTAATCGATCTGTCAGGAAGGAAAGCGAGTTTGCGGCAAGGCATGCGAGTGTAAGTGCGAAGTGATGGCCGTGCCTCCCAGCGCACACCCAGCACCAGAGCGAGCACGGCGCGGGGCTGAGGAGGGCCGCGGGGGCGGGGTGGTGCAGACATCCTTACGCTGTGACCGGAACCGTGCACAGGAAACATGGGGATGAAGCTTTCAAAAACGCAGGATAACCCTCAGAAAAATCAATGATCTTACAACTGTATTAACATTTAATGAATGTTTTAAAAACAAACAGAAGCATTAACCTACCAAACAAAAGGTGGGAAAAAGGAAAAAACAAGTGGGTGGGCAGTAAAGTGCCCGGGACATTGAACAACTAGAAACAATTCATTAAATGGATTAAAATCAGCTAAAAGGCAGATTAGTCCTAAAACTTTTAGCAACTTGTGGTCCACACAAGACCCACTTAAAGCGAACAGTCAACAGAACAATGAAGCTGAAGACGGCCACGTGGACTCACCCTGCAAGTGGGACAGAGAAAGCGGGGACGGCAGTGTCGCCAGGACGACCGGGGTTCAAGCTCAGAACGGACATACGAGGAGAGACGCGGTGCACGTGGTAAGCAGCTCAAGGGCTTGCCATGGCCGGCTCTGCAAACCCTCATAGAACAGATCAAAAAGGTCAAATCCACAGCCGCAAGGGAGAGTATCCGCAAAGCCTTCCAGAACACACGCACACCTGACAGGACCACCAGGCAGGAGGACCGAGGGACCTCAGCGTCCCCAGACCACAGTCCCTCGGTCACGGAGCGGTCAAAAGGAGCCGAGCAAAGGGCAATGGAGACCCAGATGTCGAAAGTGACACACACACCCTTCCTGAGCACGCAGACTCGCGGGGTCGAGGGTCCTGCTGAACACAGCTCCACCCAGCACTCTCCAACACCGAAGCAGGAATACTGGATTTAGAGAGAAAATCGGGAAGGACATGGCAGCACCGAGGACTGGACACCAGGGAAGGCTTCCCGGCCATTCGGGACTCGAGGAAGAGTCTCGCTGGGCCGGTGCCGCTGGGAGGGGCCGCGTCTGCTTCGGGCGTGGGCTCTCTGCAGCAGGGGCAGCCTGACTCGACCTCGAGACGGCCAGCCCAGTCCTTCGTGGGCGTCAGCGGATGGGCCGCTTTCGGTGCATGGTTTTCCCGGCACGTGGCTGCACACAGCTGGTTTCGCGTGGGCTCCAGAAGCCCACGGGCCCTTCGCAGGAAACACCTGCCGGCGCCTACTCCAGACGCCCGGCAAGCCTGCCCGCTGCCCTTTCTCAGGTTCCCGCGGCTGGGAGTGGAAGACGGAGCTGCTCGGGCGTGACGGGTCCCCCAGTGTGGGGACGACAGACCAGGCTCCATCGTCACCATGACACCCTAGCCCCAGCTCTCAAAACCCCCCAACACCCCTACCCTGGATGCTGACAAGAGCCTGTCGCGGTCAGTCAGCCCCACGAGTGTGCGCGCGGACCACACGCACGCGGCCTGGTGCGGGGGGCGGCGGGGGGGAGGCTGATAAGTGGGCCTTGTGGCATTTAGATGGATACAATCACAGCCTAAGGATCAATATGAGAATTCCTAGGAGTTACAAGAATGAAATATATTTTTCATTGATTTGTTGTTTTAAACCATTAAAAAGATGGGTAAGCGTGTTAAAGCAGAGTAAATACTCAGGGCGCTAAAAAAACACTACCATTTTCACATTGTTGTAGAAAATCAATCTCGCTGACATACACTTTCAAAGTAAAACCCCAAAAAGCAGACGGCATGCCTCAGGCCCAGGAGCAAGCATTCTCCAGCAGAGCTGGAGGCCAGCTGCGCCCAGCCATCAGAGGGGCGTGGGCCTCCCCCGAACAGGAGCCTGGCTCAAATTTACTCCCACATTTGCTTTTCGAAAGAATCCTACAAATGCCCAAATCCCCTTTTTTGTTTAAATTGACCAAGTGGCACCCATTTGCCTGGAGCACTAAGGCAGACAGGGTGGGAGCGATGAAATCGATAGTGGGAAATGGAGAGGCTGCGGCTTCCGCGTGGAGTTAGGCCGCCGAGCTTGACATTATTGATTTTACCTAGTTCAGCTGGCCTTGTAATTAAAATGTAAATTTGAGAAAGAGATTATGTCCTGACAGAAATGGTAGGATTAAGGGGAAGATAAAAGCCCCTCGGTGAAAATTCAGAGAAAGAAATGAGAAAGAAAAGCACCAGCTTCCGCAGCTGTGTGGATTTAGACGAATCTACTGCAGGTTCACCTGCATTTAACTGAAAAAACAGCGGCGGAATATAAACTACGTTATGAACTGACTCGCCGGTCACATTTCCAGGGCCCTGGGGCCACCGGGGCTCACAGTGGGATTTAGGCTGGTGGCTGTCTCGGGCACGCAGTCGACCCCCGGGACCCTCCGCAGCCCACCTGTCTGCAAACACAGATCCACGTCGGCCACCAGCATGACCTTCCAGGGCACAAACAGGATGCTGAGAGCCTTCCAGAGAAACGGGGTGAGCCGGTGGCAGCGAGACCACCAGGGTCTCTGCCTCCCTCCCTGGGCTCCCGAGGCGCCCTCCGGGGGCCAGGCCAGGGGCACCAGGGACTCAGGCCCTGCCGGCCTCAGGAGCACAGGGGCACAGAGGAGGACGCATCCCGCCTGCCGGACCAACACCGCAGAGCTCAGCGGAGGCAGCATGCGCACTGCCAGGCTTGCAGATGTCGGCATCAGGAGTGTCTCCGTGGGGAAGCCGCTCTGCTCCGGCGGGGCTGGGCCCCAGCTGGCAACACCTGGAGGCAGGGTCACCCACTGTGGCGCCACGGCCGGGCTGAGTCCACGTCCTGTGAGCACGGCGGGCCCACACAGCCTGTCGCCCAGTCCCCTCTGCCGCTCCTGCCTAGCACCTTGCCAGTGGGAGTGGTGGCAGCCCCACTGTCCCTGCTGAGGGCCACGGCCTGCGTGGCAGAGTGGACGAGGCGCAGACGAAGCGCTAGCGGACCGCAGCTGTGCTCACCGCGGTCATCAGAACTGGCGACCAAGCCCGGCCCCAGGGCAGAGACAAGCTCTCCCTCCTGCGGAAAGGGCTCAATGCCCTCCAAGCAGCATGTGCTGAGGGCCAGGGCAAGTGTCCGCAGCTGGAAAGCCTCGGAGAGAGGACTAGCTAGGGTCAGCGTGGGGCTCCCAGGCCCCAGAGGCAGGGCCCAGCACCTCAAAGCCGGACCTCTGCTGGGCGCGCTGCCAGCCGCAGGAGGCTCTCAGTCACGGGCTGCCCGTCACCAGAATCCTCTGCTGCAGAAACTTGGAGAAGTGATAACACTGAGCGGACTATTTCCTGGCAGTCCTGCCCCACTGCCCACTGTCCCAGCCTGGGGCACGGGCAGCCACGGGAGTGTCTGGGCTTCTGCTGGGCTCCGGCCTGGGCACGGGAGGGCGGTCACTGCTCCCGACAGATGCCTTAGGCAGCCCCCAGGTACTTCGTGGGTGCAGGTGGGGCCTCTGGCCACAGGGAGCCCCTGCTCTGGGGCGGACAGCAGCATAAACCGGGGATGGCAGGCCATTTCAGGTGCAGAAGAACACGGAAGAACAAAGGGCAGGAGGGTTGCCTATCGGTCAGAGGAAGACCCAAAAGCTAAGAAGTGAAGGCCCGCATGGCTGGAGCAGAGGGCGAGGCAGGCACACAGGCCCTGGCCGGCTGGGAGCAGGGGTGGGTCGCCGCTGCTCCCACATCCAGGCTGGTGCCCGGGGAGAGGAACCGGGGCTGCGCAAACGGCAGCCGTCAGGTCTGGAAGTGCCACTTTGGCACGATGCCCCTACTGGGCCACAGCGCCACACCTGAGCTCCAGTCATCTACACTCTGGTTAACAAACTCACATTTCGCCTTACAGACTCAGAGAGAAATTGATTGGTCTGTTTTTCCACAAAAGCCACGGGTCTTGTTTTTATTTGCCGCCTCTGTGTGTGCTGGGTAGATCCTGCGGGCCCACACCCCTTCTTGCTAGATGGCCACTGTGCTGGGGTGCAGACACGGGAAAGAAGGAAACCCCAGACAGCAAAGACCAGTCAGAGCTGGGGCTGCACTTCCCAGGAACAGCCCTCCTCCGCCACGAGCTACGGAGGTGTCCTGGGCCAGCAGCGGAGTCCATGACTCCACAGATGGCAAGTGGGGATGCCCCAGCCATGGGGCCCGGGGACTAAGGAGCCCAGCGAACGGTCACCAGTCTCCTGCCACCTCGGGAGTCCCCCACAGCACTGTCCCCGGGGCACAGGAGCTGTGCGCGCTCTCTGCTCTGGGGTGCCCGCCCCACTCCTAGACTCGCTCCCCAGTGCTGAGACTTGTGTGTCCCCAGCAGGGCTGCCCCTCGTGTGGCGCCAGCCTGGCTGTGCCCACTGATTGGGTGCTGGGGCTTGCGCACCAGGGACAGCGGGAGCCCACTGCGGGGAGGCCTTGGGGAGGAGCCCGACCCGAGAGTACCTGGGGAACAGAAGGAGAGTTGCAAGATTTTCAGTGACAGATCTGCAGTGTCAGCAGGCAGGGCGCCCACCATGGCTGGCTCCCCTGCTCAGTGGGCCCCAGACCCCAGATGTGAGGTCATGCCCTGAGGGTCAGCATCTTTAGCAGGACCCCACCCAGCCCCTCCCAGCCCCCCGCACTCACCATACTCCGGCCGCAGGTGGTCGGGGATGCAGGCCTCATACCCCTCCTTCTCTGGGACCTCGACAAAGTCCCCATCATCCTCGTCCTCATCCTCATCCCTGTCCCCTGGGGCTGCCACCTGTGGAAACACCCCCAGACCTACGTATGAGCACAGCACAGAGGCCCGGAGGTTCCCGGTCCTGCCGCAGCACTGGAGACGGAAGATCATCTCTGGGCCTGGTCCCGCTCCTGAGCTCACGCCAGATCCGCAGCTCCGTGTCCAAACCACATACAAACCTGCCCCACCACCTGGTGCCCTTTGAAATGCATGGGAGAGGCACAGGAGTAGGTGTGTTTCCAGAGCCTCAGGAGACCAACCTCACCCAGTGAGAGGCAGGGCCGCCCCTCCCTCCAGGCCAAAGCACCGCCCACCCTTCTTGGGGGCAGCTCTGGGGATGCTGGTATGACTACGGCACTTCTGGAACATTCTGTCCTTAAGAATGACTTGTTAAAAAGCCACCGAAAAAACAGTTTCCTTTGGATGAGACCCCTTTCCCCACCCAGGTCAGTATAGTGAGGGCCCCAGAGCCACCAGAGGGGCTGGGGGGCCACCTCCACCATAGCCTGCCCAGAGGGCCTGAAGAACTGCACGGGGCCGGCTTCCTTTCTACGAGACCCGGACCCTCTGCCCCCACCCGCTGGCTGGGCAGCACCCAGCCTCTCCACGGAGGTCCACCATGGAACAGGAGTCGGGCTTCTGTAGCTGGCCCCACATTCTCAGTGACCCCCCACAGCCCTAGGACTGGACTTGAGGAGAGCAGCCCCCACGGGATGGGTCCTTCCCAAGAGGGTCACAGCAGGGAGGAACCAGGAGCGCCCGCCCCACTGCCAACCGGCCCTGGAGTACTTGGGAGCCAGCTCAGCCAGACCAGGGCGCAGACCTTTACCCCAGTCTCAATCCCACTGAAGGGAACAGCCAGGACGGAGGCCCCTGTCAGATAAATGCCAACTACTGGGGCAAACTCTGGAGAACCTCATGACACATGCCTTCACTTCCGAAATCTTTCTCCACAGCACACCTCAGGGCCACCGTCGAGGCGGAGGATGGAGAGCCTGGGTGACAATGGGGGCAGGAGGCCCCCCAGGCTCAGCTGAGTCACAGATGCCGGCAGCCCCCCGCAGCTGCCCGTCGCTGCAGAGCTGGGCCTGGTGGCGGCCACCGTAACCCGGGGCATCAGCAACCACATCTGCCGTTACCTGCGGCCCAGGGATGCCCGCGGGGGAGCCACCGCTGGCCCCCAAAAGGCACAATCAGATGCAAATGCACTTTGTTTGGGTACACCCCACCGCGGTGCATCTGGGAAGCGCGGGAGACATTAATCATCGGAAACTGTAATTTTTTGTTATCAGTCTAACACTGATCAAAAGGGAAGCCTGTCTCCACCACTGACCTGTGAAACGTCCCAATTATACTCTTTGGAAATGACAGGGGCACTTAACTCCCGAGCTGGGCAAATGACGGCGATCAATCACGTTTGAATAACAATGAGCCACGGACCTGAAAATTATTTTTGTATAGAATCTACCCAGGAATTTATGAAAGGTGGAAAGCAGCCCAAGGTTTTAGGGCATTACGGTTCTCGGCTAGTGCGTATCAAACACTAAACAGAATTTATGTGTTTTAATTTTCTAAAGGTAGATGTGGACTGGGTGCTACAATGCAGAACAGAGAGCACCGGATTTTAAATATGGGGGTCATTTTCATAAAATATTACGCTTACCGCTCACACCCCTCAATTTCACCAGGGACTTACTAAATTTTCATTTCCTAAAAAATATTTCGCTGCTTAGTTAACTATTAGGAATTATACCCTCTTTCTCCCCAACTCAAACTGTTTATTCCTGTGATGAAATACGGAGCCCTGGGCTGCTCTGTTCTTAAATTAACACCGCTCCAGGCGGGCCAGGCCGCACCCACCTCCAGGAGGACCCACTGGGGCAGGAACTGCCCCCTCAGGGTCCCCGCGGCCGGGGCACTGGCCTCTGCAGCAATCTACTTGTGTGCGTGAGCCGTGAGCCCTCTAGCCGCGGGTGGCCCCTGGAACCGCAGCGACACCGGGCCAGAGACGGACTTTGCTGCTAACGCCAAATCCGCGAATCCGCGCTCCAAAGCCTCCAAGTTCAACATGGAGTTCCCAGGGCGGTGTCGGCTCTCTGAACCCCCAGCACCTGGGGGAGGGCAGTGACACCCACGTCCAGAGGACGAAGCCCCATGACCAGGCACAGTCACACTGCTGTGACACCCATGTGACCTGCTCCAGGGCCTCACGCCAAACGCCGGCTCAGAGAACAGGAACACCGCCACCAGCCAGGCCAGGAGGCCCTCTCTAAAAGCCCGGCAAAACGGCACAGCGGCAGGAAGGAGCCCGGCCGGAGCCAGTCCCGGAGTGGGGCAGGGAGGTGGCCACCTCCCCTCAAGGTCAAATCTCACAGACTGGCAAGGGGCAGGGCGCGGGTGCGTGGATGCCTGAGGATCCTGGGAAGGAAGCTCACGCCCTGAGGCGGCAACCGGTTGAAGGTGGGTGGTCCTCAAAATGGGGTCAACTCATGAACTGTTCTCATTCTGCAGCCCCCCACCCCGCCCCCGCCGCGTCTGGGGTGTGCACCCACCTCCTCCAACAGGTGGAGTCCCTGGGCAGGCAGCCCGGGAGGCCCGGGCAGGCGCTCAGAGCCCTGTGGCCCACCGGACGCCTCCCACAGCGGTGGCCCTTCGGGAGACGCCCACAACCGCTGCCGCTGGGAGGCAGAGGGGGGCCGCGGGCCTTCCGCCGGTTTCATACACATGGAGTCGCACCCACAGTTAAAAGGATTTAGAAAAATGAGCCTCTGGGATCATAATTAAACAAGCAATAAAACGGCTAAAATATACAACACAATCAGCGTACAGCAGTGGGGGTATCGGGGTTACTGATTATTTGAGGAGGAAAAGGAAGAGCGACCTGGCTCTGGGAGCGGGTCGGCCCGCCAAACGCACGCCCAGATGCAGCTGGGACCGTTAAATAAATTTTGTACGATCTAATTAACTCGGTGCGCAATCTCAATTACTTTTCACCCAAGAAATCACTTTTGTTCAGTTTTATGTGTGTCTGTTTCCCTTTTTAAAAAAAAAATGATGTAAGGCCTCGTCAGACAAGTGAGCTCCAAACTGCATTTGTCTTTCAGCGGCTTGATGGCCATGCATTTAAAACCCCATTCTATCTTATAAACTAAAAATTAAACGTGCTCAGCTGTGATGGTCGTCATTGCATCTGCTATTTATATGCTAATGCCCTCCCTGGAAGGCCGTGCAAATTGCCCAGCTACGCCAATACCTCATGTGCATCTCCAGCTGCTGGGGACGCGCCTTCAGAGGGCAGAGGACGGTGGGGCGCGCGGGGCTGACCAGGGCAAGCACGAGGGAACAGGGACCCCCCGCCGACACCACCCAGGGCACGCGAGCCCGCTCGGACACAGACAAGGCCGCAGAGCACGTGGTCCCCTGCTCAGCGGGAACGGAGCTGGTGCAGACGGGCGTCACTGTGTTCTAGAGTGGCTGCGGCCCCCTTTCCTGTCTGATCCAGATCTGCGCAGGATGAGGTGCTCGACAGGCCTCGCCTTGGAAACTGCCTGAGGCGGTGCAAGCAACCAGGCTGTGGGTCAACGGGACACCTGGACCATTTCCAGGCCGAGGCTGGGGCCAAGAGCCCTGCTGCGTCTGGGTGCGTCCGTCCCCGACACAGGTGGTGACCCCGGAACCACAGGCGGGTAACTCGAGTCTGCCACGGCGCAGACGGGCACCCTCTCCTCCGCAGTGGCCACCCTGGGGAGCCCATGTGAGCGGCTGAGCCGCGGGACAGCACATCCCACAGAGCGCACAGTGGTTCCCCAGTTCTCACCACCCAAGGAAGCGGCATCCACACAAGAACAGGAAAACCCGCTGTGCACGCTCTCCTCCCTCAGCCCAACCTTCACAGGCAAAATGCAGGCAGCCGGCGCCCTCCGAGGCCAAGGCTCACACAACCTCCCCTCAGACTCGGTCTCACCACCTGTGTACTGGGGTAGTGACGTGACCCACCTCACAGGGCCGCTTGTGGAATCAAAGGGATGACGGTGAAGGTATTCAGGAGCAAGGGGTGCGCAGCAGTGCAGGGGGAGGGCTGGGTGCGGCGGGGCTGCGCTCTGGGGCCCCAGGGCACAGGGGAGAGGGCCGGCCCTGAGCAGTGGGGCACCTGTGTGTGCTGCCAGCCCTGGTGAGAAGGGCAGAAGGCGTGCGGACCCCTCCCCCGGCTCCCAGCCCTGCAACCTCGTGGCCTTCAGCGTGATGGAGGGAGCCGCGTCTCCGGGAAGGTTGTTTACTGGCCCTGCCGCGCACAAGGTCCCGGCTGCTGGCTGATTTAGTTCCCCTGCCTCCCTGGGGTGCCTGACTCATTCAACATTTCATTCCGCGGCTTCCTGCTCTGTCCTTTTCACCTACAGGAAGCCGGCACTCACGTGGCTCCCACGGCACAGAAGACTTGTGGACACAACGGCAGCAGGAGCGTCCAGGGCCCCTGCCTGAGGCGGGAGGTGCTTCCCCGGCAGAAGGCCCGACCCATCAGCTGGGGAGGCTGCACAGGCAGGCAGCGGGCGGCAGCACGGAAGGAAAGCCTCCCAGAGCCACGCAGGGCGATGTCTGCTTTGGGAACGCGTGAGGATGTGCCCGCGGTCCAGACCCTGTGGCCGCGTCAGACTGGTGTTCGGCGAGGACGGAAACACCCATGTGAGTATTCTACCCGCTTATACAACCCAGCCATTAAAAAAAAGTGCTGCTGATAGTTTATATAAACTGATGCCTGAAGTTATTTTTTTCAGACATAGTAGTTGGTAGGAAATTAGTATTTTGTTAATTACACAATACACAATAATTGGTGATCGTGGCCACATAATTAAACCGCAGGCAATTTAAAAGTTTATACAGAATTTTTATCAGTTTCACGAATGTAGCAGGCACAGATTATTACACCTCTCCCACAGCAGAGGGCTGGAAACTAAATCTACCAAATGATGCTCCACATCGATCTATTTGAGATTTATCCCCAGCTGCTTCCAAACAGAACAGAGACACACTCTATAAAACAAACAGTTAAACATATTTAAACGGACTTAAATATTTCTCAAAGATGGAACCTCTATGTCAAAAGAAAAACAATACGTAGAAACCAGCAGCAACACAAAACCAGAAACGGGACACCTTCCAACACCCCCACCCCGAAGGGCTTGTTCCCAGCTGGGCTCCCGACTTCTCCTCAGCATCCAAGCTGCCAAACAGGAGCCCCGTGTTTGTGCTCATCTCTGACACATTTGTCAGAGGTTCTAAAATCCTCAAATCCCACGTTCCCGAATCAGCGTCCCCAGCTCGGCCAGCTGCGCACGCGGTTACCACGCCGACCCCGCCAGGTTGGGAAACGCTAAGGCAAATGATTTAAAGCCCCGTCCGTTGTATTTCAAAATGAGTGGGGAGCAACTCGTTGGTAATTTCTAATTACTGCAGTGGCTCCCGCGGCCACCCGCCCTGCGCAGGGTCAAGCAGATGTGCAGATACGCGGCGCCCACCTGAATAGGGGCGCTGCCACTCAGCCACTCGAGCCCCAATCGCTTCATGTCCAGGTGCCGCCGCCCGCCAGCGCGGGTGAGCACAATCTCCAAGGACTTCGGAGCAGTGCCTTTTTTAAATCAGTTGGTGGAGAAGTGTCTGGAAAGCGTCCGTTCGGCTGACAGAGACAGTGATGCGCCCTTCCCACTGAAGCCACGCCACCTTCCCACAGGCAGCTGCAGCCTACAGGGCCTCAGTGACCCGCGAGTCTGAGTCTCGGCCGGCCCTGCTGTCCCCATGCCAGAGGGGCAGGGCCCCTTCACCCACAGCCATCCTCCAGGCTGGACTCCCACCCTCGCCAGCGCTCCCCCGAGGCTCCCTGACCGGCCTGCCCCGAGCAGCATGGAGCTGCCCCCACCAGACGCTCCCTCGGATGCCTGGGGACAGCGCCGAGGGCTCCCAAACAGTCCAGGCACAGGCCAGGCTCTGTGTGGGGCTGGGGCTGGAGCCGGCCCCGCAGAGCACCTTGCATCTCCTGCACTGGGAGGCGCCGGCCTAGGCCGTTAGGAGACCTGCCCTTCCCCTGGGGGCCCTAGAGCCGTGAGGCGAGAAGGTTCTGCTGCCAGCTCTGGGCTCCGAGTCCTGCCCGCCCCAGCAGTGCTGCGGACCCCAGGCCTGGCGGGACAAGGTCATGCTGCCCAACCAGCCCTCATGGCTTCCGGGGCTCTCCCCAAAGCCCCAGCTGCCCTGAGGGTGCCTCCCCCAGTTCCTTCAGACACAGTGCGAGCCCCTGCTAGGCAGGGTGGGGCTGGTCCTCAGGGCGCCGTGAATCCCCACACCCCTCCCTGCTCTCAGGCCAGCCACTGCCCTGATGCCGAGACCCTGGCTCGTCCAACGTTCAGAGATAAATCCCTCCCAACGTGCTGGACGAGCCGACTGGATCACCTCCTTCCTGAGACCAAAGAACAACCTTCCTTCAGTATTAAAAAAAAAAAAAAAAGCACCTTGGTCAAAATTCACGCAGCTATCTTCTTGGTGAGCTCACAACCCCCAAGCAAGGCTCTACGAAGAAACTCGCGCCCACAGAAACCCCACTAGGACATCAGCCGGCAAACGCCAGGCAGCCTGCAGGCCCTGCTCCCAGCCCAGAACTTTCTTCAGACTCCACAGCTTTGCGGGAGAAAGACAAGACCGCCCTCTGCCGGTCCCCAGGGGCCCCACACCCTGCACCTGGAAGACAGCTGGTGGGGCCATCCCTCAGAAGTGCACACCAGGGCAGTGGCCCTGCGACAGGTGTCCAGTGGCTCTGGAAGGGTCAAGGTCACTGGGTGCCAAGGCCCACGGTGTCAGCCACCGTCCATCCTAGGTCTGAATGGCTCCGAACCTGCTCTCTTCCTTCCTCCCACCCCAGAGCTCCTGCTGGGAACAGTTACATCCAACCAGAACAGAGGTGCAGACACGCCGCTCAGTGGGCCAGGTGCGGGGTCCCAGCACCCTGGCAGAGCGGTGCACTCCGGAGTCCGCTTCCCTGCTTCCGAGAGGGCAGCAGCTGTGCTGACCCTGCTGCAGCTCTGAGTGCCCTGCCCTGCTGGCAGGCCCCGAGGACACCTGCAGAGGGACGCGGCTCTCACGTCCATCTCGGACGTTAAGGTCTAGGTCCTGGTACAGGCCACGGGAGGGGGCCCCCGAAGTCACCTAGTGTCCCAGGAGCTGATGGACCTCACCCATGCCCCGTCAGTAAGTGTGGGCCTGTCCCTGCTCCACAACCGTGCCCGGGGACCCCGCACGCAAGGGGACCAGCCTCCCCCTCCCAAACCTGTGCCTGTGAGGTACCACACGACCAGCAGATGCCTGGCCTTGACCAGCCTCCCAACTGGGGCACCAGGCTGCATGTTCACCCCACCTCGCCGCCCGGGAGCTCCTCCGTAGGGCCCTGCTTGGGACCATGGCGCCCACCTCCCCAGGCCAGGGACACGGCCCTCCGCGTAAGCCCGAGGACAAGTCCTGATTCTGTGTCTACCGCAGACACCCCAACACCGAGCGTCCTTAGCCACGATGCAGGCGAACGGGACAAGACGCTGAAGCCCGGAAGGCCCTCACCAGCTCACGGGAGGCTCTGCTGGGCACTCGGGAGGCTCAGGGTGCGACAGTGCGGAGGAGCTGGCCTGGGTCTCAGCTCAGCCCATGGCCTCCTCCTCCAGGGCCCTGAGATCTCCCTCCCAACTAGAACCTTCTGCCTCCTCCCACAGCTCTCCCGTGCCCTCCTGCCCTGGACCCTGTCCCCGCCCTCATCCATGGGGAGGCCTGCGCTGTGCTCTCTGGCCCCCCAGGCCAAAGCTTCCATTTCAGGAAAGGAGCTCCCAGCGGGGCAGAAACCAGAATACTTCCAAGCCCCAGTTATTCTTGCTGACTCAGAAAACAGCTCAAAGAGGAGGTGTCCTTGCTGTCACCCCTCCCCAGCCTGCTGGCAGCACTCACCTCCCTCCAGCGCCCCTCCTCAGGCTTGATGTCCAGCTCTTCCGATCGCCTCAGGGCCCTTTCCAGTTCCGTCTTCAGGTCGATGGCAGCTTCCAGGTGCCCACCGTGGATCCCTGCGCGGGTGAATAGCTGCCAACAAGGGGGCGCATCATTCAGTCCGGCTGGGGCGCCCTCCCCACCCCCCCAGCGTCCCCCCCCCGCACACCCCGTGGCCCTGACTCTGCCCCGGCATCCTGGCACGTGGAGACCTCACCTGGACCCAGGGGCACACAGCCCTCCTCACCCCTCCAGTGTCCCCCCACCGCACACCCTGTGGCCCCGACTCTGCCCCGGCACCCCAGCACGTGGGGACCTCACCTGGACCCCGGAGCACACAGCCCTCCCCACCCTCCCAGCGTCCCCCCCTGCACACCCCGTGGCCCCGACTCTGCCCCGGCACCCCGGCACATGGGAACCTCACCTGGACCCAGGAGCACACAGCTGGCAGGAAGGTGTTTTGGATAAGCTTGAGCGCGTCCCGGGCGGAGTGGATGACAGCGTGATTGTCCTCGTCCTCACGCACCCTCAGGCTGTCTGTAACAAAGCACACAGGGTCACTGGAGGCACCAAGGCAGGTCACCCAGCACCACGGAGGGACCACCCGCACCGCTGCCCATCCTTCCCCAGCCACGTTCTGCCCAGGACCCCATACCTCGTGCCTGACGAACAGATGCACTACTTTAAGATTCTGGTTTTGGCGCAGACCGTTTTAGCCTGAGCCCGATGCCTCCCTCCACACCAGACCGAGAGACCCCACGCGGCATTCTCATGGACAAATCCCAGCCCATCCATCGAGCCCCAGGAGCCCTGGAGCCCCTTCCCATTACTGCCCACACCACTGCTCAGTCCCACAGCCCTGCCCCCGCGTCCCACCACCCCAGCCTGTCTTCAGCCGGGCACCCCCACCTCCTGCACGTGGCCTGCTGCCCCCCCCGCCCAGCCAGACAGCTGTTAGTTCCCTGGGGCTGGTGGGACCCAAGATGCCTGGGGGTGGCAGATCTTCACACAGCTAGGCAGCCTGACCGCCCTTCCTCTGTGAACACCCCTAAAGGGCTCCCAACCACACCTGCATCATCTCAAACATGGTGAGAAGCTGCTATCCAACCACGTTGTCCTCCAAGCCAGAGTAGGGGGTGCCTGATCCCTGACAGTCACCCTCCGATCCCGATGGGCCTGTGACCAGGCACTGCAGCCTCCCCAATCCCTTGGAGAATTAGGCCTGCCCCTCACAAGGAGGACCTTGGGGTGGAGCCACAGACCCCAAGCCTCAAGTCACCCCTCACCCCAACCTTGGAGACCCTGCCCTGCTCACGGTCCCAAGAAGCCTGGGCTCTCGCCAGCATCCCCAGGGCCCATGGCTGAGGGAAGAGTGCCCTGGCCAGTCAGCAGGAGTCGGCGGTTACCTGAGGAGAGCTCCACGTCTAGCGTGTACTTGTGGGAGCCCAGTCCATGGCGCCGCACAAACCCTTCCTCATCGCTGTCGCTGTCCTCCTCCTCGGCCCCTGTGGCCGTCTGCGGCGGCCCCTCCCCACTGCCAGCTCCCGGATGGCCGGCCCAGGCGGGCAGGGTCTTGCTACAGCAGGGCTGCTCCTCGTCCCCGTGACTGCCAGCGCTGGCCTGGCAAGGGGCACTCTGCTCAGACACACTGAAGGCCACTGTGGGCAATGAGGCGCCCAGGCCTGCGGCGAGGTCCAGGGGCAGCAGCAGCCTGAAGCAGCTCTCCACCTCCGTGAGACAGCGCCGAATCTCCTCGGACATCTCTGCAGACACAGGCACGGCCTGTCGGGGCCCGCCCGCGAACGGCACCACTCCCCCAGGGCAGGGCCCGAGATCACAAGGAGGGCCACGTCCCAGCAGCAGGGGGGCCCCAGCGGCAGGCAGGCTGTGTTACACAGGACTGCAGGCCGCCCGAACCTGCGCCTCCTCCTTCCTCCCCGAACCGAGGCCGGTGCCCCGGGCGTGTGGAGGTTTGGTGATCATTGAGAAGCCACCAGCTCAGCAGCACAAGGCCACCCTCTGCGATGTCCTTGGAAACAGCCTCAGGTCTGGACTTCTGCTGCGAGTTTCACTGGTGCCCCGGGAACACCAAGTGGGCTGTGCCACCACAAACAGAGCTTCGGAGGACAGAGGCCATTGGGGAGCCATCAGGACACACACCACTCCCCAGTCCTCCATTCGGAGCGCAGCTCGACCGTTCCGCTCCGGCCGGCTACTTCCTGACAAGGATCTCTCTGGGGCCGGCCAACACCCTCCTCAGGGGACAGAGGACTGCTCCCAGCCTCTTCCGGGGCCAGGCACCCCAGAAGTGCCTTCAGCTGGGGCCTGCCCCTCACGGAAAGGGCCAGCTGCTCAGAAGCGTCAGGTTTTGGGCGCTGGCAAGAGCAAACAGGGGCCATGAGGTGAACAGGCACAACTCCCTGCTTCCCCCAGCCGAGACCTTCACCGAAGCACAGTGCCCACGCGGGTCCGCCAGGGGGTGCGGGAGAGCAGTGGCCACCCAGATGTTCCTGGGGACAGGGCTGGGGTCTGCCCCCTCCCCCCGCCACTGCAGCGGCAGGGTGGGCGGGCTGCACAAGGCCCTGGGAGGCGCGGCAGGCAGGGCGCCCTCAGGCCTGAGAACTCACTCACCCTCCATCTCCCTGATGGCCTGCTCAGACCTCTCCCTGTAGATTCTATCCAAGCGCTTCCGCTTCTCCTCCTCCCGCTTTCTTTCTGCCAGAGTCCGCGCGCTCACGTCCTGAAAATCCACCTGGGAAATTGAAGTGGACGTGAGACCTGACTGCACAGAACACAAAGAAAATAGGTCAAACACAGGCCTAGGAGAAGACGTGCCAGCACCAGGACAGAGCCAGACCCTCTGGGTCCCTGGGGTCCAGTTCTTTCGAACACCAAGAAACACATCTGACAGCAACGATCGATCCCCCGCAGAGGCACGGCCAGCACATCTTCCAGAAAGCAGCAAGCCGCTGCAAGGAGTATGGGGGGAGGCTGCTCGCCCCACCCAGGGGCCTGGAAACACCCCGGGAGGGGAGCCCGGATGTGTACTGCCAGGCAGCATGCTCAGGCTGTGGCGGGGACCGGCCAGCCACCTGGACAGGAGGGCAGGGGCAGCAGCAGCCAGTCCTGGTGGGTCTCACGCACCCAAGGCCACCAGAGCCCACAGCAGACCCAGAAGGGACTCAACTCCTGCACACAGAACAGGGCCGCGTCTGAGAAGCCGACCCCTTTCCCTCATTTCGGCTTTCTGTGGAAGTCAGGACCCGAGGCCCGGCTCCCTCCACACATCCTCCTCCCAGAGCCGCTGCCCTGCTCCTGGGAGCCCCCCCCACTGCCCCTGAACACTGGCTGGCCGCTGAGGCCAGACAAGTCTGTCCACCAACGCAGCACAGAGTGTGGCCTGCCCACCTGTTTGCTGTGTCTTAAGAAGTGGTAGCCCAAGGCGAGCTTCTTGTAGGCCGCACCGTACTTCTCATTCCACCCTTGGATGGCCCGGGTGGCAGCCTGACGCAGCCTCTGGGCCACCTCCCTGGGAGGTGGCAGGGGCTGCTCGTGGTCGGTGCCCAGTGTGAGCTCCAGAAACTCCTGAAAGTTGGAAACAACCAGCATCCTGAACTGATGGGACCGGGCGAAGAGCTCATCTATGGCCTGGAATGCGGAGAGGCGGATCTCGGCGTGGTCCTGGCTCAGCTGGGCCATGAGCAGGTGGTAGGCACGGCTGAGCTGCTCCTCTGAAGACCTAGGGACACCAGTTGTCCTCGCTGAGTGCCCAATACTCTGTGTGTGCACAGCATGCAGAGCAGCAGACCCTCTCCCCTTTGTCCAGAGAAGGTTGGACCAACAACTGCCCTCGGGTCCCCGCCTGTTTCTGTACGACCCACAAGCAAGAATGGTTTTTACATTTTTTAATGGCTGAAACGAACCAAAATAATACTTCATGACATGTGAGAATCATGACAGCCAGCGTCAGTGCCCATCAAGTTTTATTGGGACACAAGCCGGCCGCTCCTTCACATTGTTCTCACTACTGTCCACAGCTGAGCCGTCACCGCAAAAACTTTACGGCCCAGAAAGCCTCGAGGAGCCACCATCTGGCCCGTCAGAGTACATCAGAGCAGATTCCATTCCAAGCGGAGAACCCAGCCCCCGGCCTCCCCTGCAGACACAGGACCGAAGCAAAAGCGAAAGGACCTGCCCTCCGAGGAGCCTGCACACACCCTGCCCCTCCTGTTGCCCTTCCCAGCTATCTTCCCTGCAAAAGAAGCTGCTACTGTTCTGGGGTGTTCTGGGTCTACACTGAAACCTAATCTGAGCTGAAATTTTTTTTGTCGAAAGCTAAAGCCTTTGTTACTTAAAGTCACTTAAGTTTTCCTGTTTTGTAAATACGGAATAAGGACAATCAGCAAATCTCGACTTACGTTCAATAGGTCCCCGCTGACACGGCCTTTAGAAAGTGTTCATGCCACACACACCCGTCCCCCCCAAGGACCACTGCCCCACAAGGTGACCACCTGCCAGAGCTGGGCCCTGCAGGGTCCTGGGGAAACATCCTGGACCTTTCCTTCCCTGCTCAGAGAGGCGACAGTGGGGACAGGCAGGCGAAGGGCTGAGACAGATGCAGGTGGTGGAAGGCATGACCCCAACGGTGTGGGGGACCTGCTGAGCCAGCCAACTGGTGTGAAATGCTGAACCTTAAGACATACTTGCAAATTTTCTTCAGTTCCTTCATTTTCTCAGGATTCAGCTGGGGTTCCCCCGAAGTTGTGAGCTCTTCTACCAACTTGGACAGTTTCTGATCCATATCTAGAAACATGCGCAGCAGAGATGCGATATGAGCACCTAGCCTTCACGATTTGTTACACGTTTCCTGAGCTGTCTCCTGGGCATTCAGGGGGCTGCAAGGCTGGCCCCTCCAGCCCTTGCCTCTGACGTGACCTGGATACAAAAATAGAACAATTCAGATGGTATTCTGGACACAGCATTTTTGGTGGTAAGTTAGGAAATTAGGAAAAGCGCAACAACAAAATAGTAACTCTGGAGCTCTACAACCCCACATGTGGGAGATACCTCAACAACACAAGAAAGAATACAACTGCCTAAATAAAACTCAAATGAGCTTTTCCCAAACGTGACTGTGGCACTTTCTCCTTCACAACACCGTTCATTCACAATCCACGAGGCAGCTTCTGCAGACTGCAAAGAGCGAGTGACTACACTCTTGTAACTTGCACCCAAAGACCCAAAGGCGGATCAACCCAAAACTCCAGCGCGGAGCCGAGCACGCAGCAGATGTGCAGTAAGGAAAAAGAAGGCTGATGCCGAAGGCCCAGGAAGTCAGTCGTTCAGCATGAACTGAGCCTGAGGGCAGCATGGGTGCCAGGCTGGCTGCAGGGCTGTTTTATTTGGTAGAAGGAGGGGCCAGGCCCAGCAGGTGTACACGGCCCCTCCAGGAGGTGCTTTCCGAGCAGTAAAGTTTGTCACTGACACCAACTCAATACACACTTGGCAGGGGCAGGGAGCTGCTCACCTGAGCACCCTCCCAGCATCCCCCATTGACCGGGTGGACTTTGCCAGAGTTCCTAAGCCCAGGGCACCATGGCCACACCAGACAGAAGAGGGGTGTCCCAGGGAAGAGGGAGCGTCCAGGAGGGGGGAGGGGACCGAGTCCTAGGGAGGAGGAGGAGGACGGGGAGAAGGGGACAGTGTGATGGAAAGAAAGGGAAGAGAAGGAGGGGGAGGAGGAGGAGGATGGATAGGTGTCCTGGTGGGGGGAGGAGGAGAAGAGATGGTGTGGGGAGAAGGAGGATGAGGAGGAGGAGGAGGGACAGTGT